CCATCAGCTGCAGCACAGCAGCCAGATGTCCGCTGCAGCGGTGGGCGTGGGCGTGAGCACACTATCAATGTGACCTGATTATGGGGCAGGGGATGAGGTGCATGGCTACCAGAATGGGAGCAGCTATCTAATGGAGCAGCAGCTACAGCAACAGTTGGAGACCAGCTATGCAACGTGTTCCAGTGAGCTGGCTTAGCTTCTAGTTATAGAAAAGTGGGCGTGGCAAGCAGTTAGACTGCTTCTACAGCTTGATAAAGAGAAGGAGAAGGGGTGGGAGGTGGAGTAGGAGGCGGCGGCGCCTTTGAATATTGCACGTTGTTAATTTTTGTGATTGTATATTCGCAGCGTTCAACGCACGCCTCCACGCCTTCAACGGCCACGCCCACAGCCAGGCAGCAGCAAGAGAAATTTATATTAATTAAAAATAAACACTTGAAGAAAATCTTATGTTCAATTAATTATATATCATATATATAAATGTATATGTAATTTGTATTTTGTAAACAACTTTTGTATGTATTATGTTTTGTTTTTTTTTTTTTGTTCTTAGTTAACGTTTAGCCTATAAGAAAGACAGAGACACAAATATATCAAAATAGTGATTAAGTTGCAAAAGCAGAAAACAAATTTAACAAACAACAACAAAAAAACATATACATATACATACATATATATTAATATAAGTTTACAATTTGTATAGCCGTCCCGCTTGTCTAATTGCTTTGAAAACACAACACACACAAATTATTTAGTTAAATGCAAAAGAAAAATGTATAAATATTTCTTTTGGTGCAATTCGATTACACACAAACATACACACACACACTTGTACATATATAACACAACACAATTTTTAACTTTTATTACTTAAATGCAATGTAATAACAATTAGTTAGTTAGCTACTAGACTAAATTGAATTTAATGTTAATAAAACAGCAAATGAAAATGCACATATCTAAACACACACATACATACAATATGTATATGTATTAAGTAATTAAAACACTTGCCCACATATCAGCATTTGTCCGCACACGTTACATGTAAATTTAATATTTAGTTAAATTATGGCTGCAAAATTAATTTATGTAAAATCCATGTGCTATTTGAAATAAACAAAATATAAAATTAAAAAAAAAAAAAGTCTTTAAATTTTAGCAAATTTACAGCAAACCCGTCCAGCTCAGCTGTTATGCTCCACCTACCGATGTCAATTTGATTTTGCTTAGCCTACGCCTTCTTCGCTCAAATACCATTGAAGCGCTTGACACTATTGCTTGCTCTGTTGCACTCACGCCAAATGGTCGTCGCTGTTTGCTTGTAAAGTGTGCGTGTTGCATGTAATTGAATTGGAATAGTAAGAGAATAATGCTATGAAGAGTCACACACATGAAATGCTTTTTTCTTTGACGTGTTAAAGCGTCGCCGTTTGTCGCCATTTGTTATTTAAATAAAGGGATCAGGTCACTTAATCTATGCAAACTAAAACTAAAAAAAAATATATACATATATATATTTTCTACATGTTTTATATAGACGATAAAAATGATCTATTCTACTTCTACTCCTCCTCCTTTTTAAGTGCTCTGCACTAATTTCTCATTGCACTAATGTTTACTCCTTTCGACTCCCATAAGCTATGCCCTTTGCTCTGTCTGCTTTGACCCCAAGAGCAAGCCAGCACTTTAGATATTAACGGAAATGAATCGAAATCTCGCTTTCTCGCTTCGATTGATTTACGATGTTCACTTTTCGATTTATTGATGGCTGCCAATTAATACATAGTCTTCGTTACGAGCAACCAGTCAATGCCAAGGCAAAATATCGCATCAAAAGAGTCAACTATGTCGCAGGGCGAGAAGGCAACAAAAACAAAATGGACTGGAAAAAATAAATGTAAAAGTCGAATAGACATAAAAAGTGTGTAGAAGGAATTAACATTTTTTCACAGCAATAAATGCATAAACGTCAAATATATATACATTCATATGGCCGATATGGCATCAAATTTATAATCTTTTGCATTGCGGATGGATGCTGGACGGATGGATGGATGTTGCATGCTCAGCCATTGTCATCGCTAATAGAGACATACCGAAACAGCTTGACCGGAGAGTCTTCCAAGTGAACGAAAAACTTCAAATTTCGACCGAACGTTACTTTTTGGGCTGCCATAAACTTTTATGGGCACCGAAGAAGAAGAAGAAGACGACGACGACGACAATGGCGCAGCTGTAAGCAGAAGTTACGTTGATTGGATAATGCTGGAGTGTATGAGTAGCTCTAGGGGTCGATTCTGACAATCCTATGGGTGCCAATTAAGACAGCAACAGCAACAGCAACAGCAACAGCACCAGCCGTCAGCCGCCATATCATAAAACTTTTTTCCTCGTTCGTGAGCGATCTTAAAACGATCATTCGTACATTTTATGGCAGCTGGACAGTCAGTCAGCCGGACGGACAGACAGACAGACAGTCCGAGCTGGCAACTGCAACTCTTATACTATTCAGAAGAAACGAGGGTATAAATCACTTGGCATTTGCTCGCTTTTTATTCAATGCATGTCAAAGTTCTCACAAAATGGCGTGCATTGCACATGCATACATGCGCACATACAAAAGTTGTGAATTCCCAGTAATTGCAACTGCAACTGCAACTGCATCTTGCATATGTGTAATGCGGTAGCTAACCCGAAAATTGTCGGCAAAAGTCAAACAAATTTTTGTATAGCGTTACGCATGGCCAAAAGAGTTGAGTGTTTCGAATTTCGATATCGAATATTTGGCTGGCACAAATGCAAACATGACGGCGAGCGCCTGCACAGCCGCAATCGCAATGTCCATTTGTCCGAATACCGTTCTCTTTTTTCCCAATATATATGTATATATATTTTTTTTTAGCATGTAGGTGTGAAAATGCAGCACACACTTCCTTTATCGGTCGCTCGGCGTGCAGCTTGTTTGGTAACTTATGTTGCTTCTCTCCCTCTCTTCTTCTTTTTTGCATTGCATTGCGCACACATAAAAGTCAAAATATTTTGGGTCCACTGGAGATATTTGTACTATGTATGTATATATGTATGTGTTAAACATTTTTAGCAATCGATTCGCTTCGATTCGTATCAAATCTAAACAGGTTGTAAATATTCATGGTCTGGACATTTCCGATTTTGTTAATCTCCTGCATTATAAATCAACTGGCTCGCGAGCTTCGCTGAGCTGTTTTTTTTTTCCATTTGTGTTGCGGTACTTGAGGTTCTTTGGCATGATTTCCTTTTGATATTTTTGTTGCCAGTCGGTTGAGCACTGCTATATATACCCTACAGATAATACCCTCAATAGGTTTTGATATATCAACTTAATATTAAGCTAAGACTCTGGAGTAGGTTTAATACAAAAACCAATACTAATTTGGTGATTTACGATATTCTTACTTGGACAAGATATCTAAAATATGCGTTAATTCAAAGAGTCAAGAAAACATAATAAACAAGAAACCTTTCTTTGATCAGTTATAAATAAATAAAAATAAATGAAAATAAATGGAACATTTTTTATAATTGTAGATAGATTAGTTTATAATATATGATTAAAATTATATCAATTATTTGAATTCATTTCATGTCTAATTTAGTAAAAATAAATATAAAATATATTTGGTAAAATTAAAGAAGATCGGGAACAAATACCAAAGTTTTAGATTAAAGTTTGTTTATATTTTACTTCGAGATCGAATCGAATTTGATATATAGGTATTTGTTTGATATATATACAAATGTAATTAGTTGAAATCTTGGAGATTTTATTTTTAAGTTACATAAACATTAAACATACATAACATTACAAATTATCAAAATTATTCAAAATCAATGTTATATTCTGATTCATCAAAAAATTCAAATTTAAATTGAGTAATAGGAATTCAATTTGAAAGCCGAAAGAACAGTGAGCACTAGCTCTATGGATGCTCGCTTAGCATATTAACAATTATAATTTATCTAATTATAGTTAATTAAAATAAACACCCACACCTCAATCACATGACGCGAACACACAGTATAAAGCTAAAGCGTGAAAAAGATTTGTAGCTGAATGCAAAAAATATTTACAATAATATATATATATATATATATATATATTTTTTTTTTTGGCCCGTATCGCCCCGTCTTGTATGCAACTGGCGAGTCTTAGCCTTATCTCAAGCATGATCGAGATAATTAATTTATGTCTAGGTACATATTTGCAGCTTCACACAAGTGTGGCCTATCTGGCTTTCGGGTTATCTGTCCATGTCCCATTGGTCTATCCGGTTTCAAGTTCAGATTGGAGGTGAGCAGCAGCAGCAGCAACAGACAGTGCCGATCTTTGATGCGGGAGTTTGATTAACACAATTTGTATTTGTGTTTATGGAAATTAAGCAACGAGTTTTATTAGTAAGCATGCACTAATTAAACTCTGTGTATATTGTTTTTATTTTTGTCACTCAAAGACTGAAATCGATTTTTTTTTTTCACTTGTTGCTGCTCTGTGGAGCAGTAGATCGTAAAAGCCGCTAAAAGGTGTGGGCGATTTCACAAATACAACAAAATTCAAAGCAAAAAGCATAAGACGTCAAAAACAACAGAATTTGTTTATTGAATTGATTAGAGTTAGCGGCGAGTGTATAAGGCACGAGATTTTGGACAGTTGATTAAGTGTAAAATTAATTACAATATTCTACATATAGGCCTTGACAACAAAAATTCCAAAATTCCAAAAACCGAAATTTCAAAATTAATAAAAGCAAACAGTGAAACAAACGCATCACTAGCATTAAAGGCAATTCCATTCATCTATGCGCATCAAACTCCTAAGTTTAGTTAAAATTAAAATTTACCTCTTTTGAAAAAGGGCGCGCATTTTGAAAATACAAAAGCTGTTTGCTACCACACTCTACTCTAAATGACTGACATTAACAATTTTATCGTTATCGCTGCTTCATGTTGCCACCTAGCTTTGTTTAAGATGTACTAAAATATAACACACAGCTAACTTCACGTCAAACTGAATTCTGTTTTGTCATTGTAAAGTAAAACTCCAGGAATAACACAAATTTTGTATTTAAAATGGTTAGTATTTAGCTGAAATGTGTCGCAGAAATATAGTAACTGATGTATCTTTTATTTCTAAAGAACCAGCAATCGCTCAAAGTGCGCCCCACAGACGTAACTGTGCTGAACGCATCCGGCAAGGCGACGCTGCCCACAGAGCCAAATTGCTTAAGTCAACTGGCACACGTCCATCGTCTGAGGGATTCGGAATTGAATTATGCCGATCACAGATACAATATAGATATGCAAATGCTGCGTAATCGCGAAGGCCTGGGTGCCCCCTTGAAAATGGGCATGGATAGATTTGCTGCAAAGCGAATTGGACGTTTGCCTTTCTTGCAGTCCAGGTAAGTCAAATTTGATTTTTAACTGGCTACATTAATAAATACATATTTATTTTATATTGTAGTAACTTAATGGACGATGTTTTGACTGGGCGCTGTGATGAAATCACGTTTCAAGACTTCTTAGGTCTCCCTGAATACAATGAGAATCTGCGCCAGCCGCACGCCGTCGTGGAGAAGTCTTTGGGCATTTATCTTTAAATAAACAGATGAAAAAACTTTACATACCAATTTACACAATTAAACAAATCTCTCTTTGAAAAACATAGTAAAACTGTCGAAAAGTGTCGAAATTTTCTTTTGAGCCAAATGCGCATTTTATTTGTCATCAACATTTTGCTAATAATCGCACAAACTTCAACTAAAAACTATAAATGAAAAATATATATTGGCAGTTTGGTTCTTTAAATTATATATATGTATATATATACGAATCGGTTGTACTCGAGAGATTCATTAAATTATATATAGTCCGTATGTGTAAATGATATGCATACAAAAAAATTTATATATAGCTAAATAGCAAAGGAGCTTTCGTTTATGCCTTATGAAATGCAGTGAAAAACATAATTGAAATTATAAACAGCTTTGCAAATGGACGAATTCGTTTCATACAATAACATTAGACTTAAGCTTAAGGAAAACAATATTAAAAGAAGCGGAGGGCATTTTAAAATTATACAATATTGCATACACATAGAGTTATGTTATATATATATGTTGGAATTCGATAGACACTATATAGAATTAGAAGTGTTCGTCCTGGATTTGCACTGCGCTCTAGTAGATCCAGTTGACGGGCACCCATTGCTCTTCGTGACTCATCTGTTCCAGGGTCTCGACCACCTGACGGAAGGTCTCATCGAAGTCCTCATTAACAATGACCATGTCAAAGTATTTGCCATACTTGCGCTGGACAAAGCTGCTCTCCTCCACAGTGGAAATCAGATCGTCGTCCTGTTGACAATAATGGGAATATGAGTTAAGCAATGTTTGTGTATTCAAGCAGAGATCTAAGAGCGCTACAAGGGTGGCCTAGTGAGTGCACAGGGTTTATGGACATGACTCAAAGATTAGAGTGTTCCACTTAGTAGGCTCGCTTTCTATTTACCTCATAGAGCGATGCAAGGGATTCGAGGGTACGTGCGCGCCTCGAGCTGAAGCGTATGGAGCTCTGACGATCGAACTGGAATAGGTTTACAAGAAAAGCAATTATCACTATAGCTACAACTAGCAAAGATATACGGAAACATCTATATATTTATATAACCATACAGATAGATTTCTATTGGAGCCGGTGGCACGACGATCCGCATAGATTGTTTTCAGCTGCTCCATGCCAGGCGCGGCGATGAATATTACGAATGGCATCAGTTCCTGGCTGTTGTGCAATACCTTCAATGCATTTGGCGCACAGTCCAATATGCACATGCGGCCGCTATTGATCACATCTCTGATCGATTGCAAATGCGTGCCATAGAGATTGCCATTGTGTTCGCCATATTCGAGAAACTCATTCTGTTTGATTGCCTCCTCCATTTGCTCTCGGTCCATGAACCAATAGCTAACGCCATTCTCCTCCAATGCGCGCTTCGGACGACTCGTGTCTGTTTTACAATAAATATTTATAGTTTTAATTGGATTAATAGGGAGACGTCAGCTCTCACGTGGAATGACAGCTCCGAATTTGTCCACATCGCTGTTGATCAGCCGATTCTTGAGCGTGCGTCTGCCCACGCCGGAGACGCCAATTAGCACCAGAGTTTTCCTGCGAAACGGAGGCATGCGTGTCACCTCCTCATAGAGCAGCAGCTCAGCCTTGTCGAACTCACAGTTCGCCACGGAACGGTACATAGTCTTACGCTTACGCTTCGAAATCTGTGCAAAGTCCATATATGTACATATAAAGAAATGTAATTGGAAATTTTAGATCCACATCAACCTACCCTTGTGCCACAGATGCCAATTTTGTGCACGTAGTCGGCCTCGGGTGCCACGAATGCCTTGCGCCGCTCCTCGAGCTCCTGAGAGGGCACCAGCCCAATTTTATCCGACTCGGCAGTTATATTCTTTGCTTGCCACCAATTGGGATCCTTGACATTGATGATCTATAGGACGAAAATATAATTATATATTTTTCTCTATCCCTAAATACCATCATTTTCAGCATACCTGCAATATATCGCCTGACTTGAAGGGCAAACCAAGATCCCTGCAGGGCAACAACGAATCCTCCGAGGGATTATATGAGAAAAGCGCGCGCATATAGCACTAGAGATTGAAATTTGATATTCAAAATATATTTATTACGACATATTTTACATTTATCATAAGAACTTCTATTTATTGGCGTCTTCAGCTAAGTTTTACTTACTTTAATGCAGGTCTTTTAGAATTTTGCTAGCTTCTTGGCCTAATAAAAACTTTATCATATTGTAATATGTAATAATTATCAGATGCATTCAAGTATATATATCAATATCATATAAGCATATATGTATGTATATATATCTAATACAAGTAAATCTACTATTATATTGAGTTACAGTGATCGCTCGGAATTAAAATTTGAAAGCGAGTCTAAATTTAAAATTTAAGTAACTTTGGGCCCATATCTTACGGATTGTGATTATATAATATACATTTTTATTTTATTTATTTATGGGCTTATTGTGAGAATATAAATCTATATAAAAAAACACCTTTATTATGAATATATTGGAATCCTATTAGGCATTAATAAGTTAGATTATAAAACTTGCAGCATTCCCACACTTTGCACCTGTTCTCGAGTGATCACTGTAGTAGTTAGCAATAAAAACAAACGCAGCTAGTCAAAAATCTCTTAAGTTTCTATCAATTTAGAATCCATGCAAAAAAGTATCAAACTCTGCTTAGTATTTGCTAAGAGCTAACAAAAAGCTTCAACAAAAAGCACACAAACATTTAACACTTACCGTTAGTTTCTTGCCCGATTCTAGATTTGTGATGCCATTCTGTTTTACCTGACCCCCACTGACCGTATAGCGACCGCTTCTGATCTCCTCATCAACATTCGGTCCGATTTTCAGCGTGAGATTCTCCTTGGCCCGTGAGACCTCCAGTTGGAGCTCGTCGGGCGTGCGCACCGGAGTGCCATTCACCTCCAGTATGACATCGCCCACATGGAGCATGCCCTGTTTATCGATGACGCCGCCGGCCAGGATGCGCGCCACCACCAGCTGCTTGAACTCATCCAGCTCGACAGTCAGTCCCAGCGGCTGCTTGGGATCGCGTCGCAGTCCCACCATTTTGATCGTCTCCACAGGCATCTTGCTGTTCAGTATGTCTTCGGTATAAAGATAGTTGCCAGGGGGGCGTTGACTTGCCGCCTCGAGTTTGGTTATAGATCCGCCGGCACTTTTAAAACGTTGCTCGTACAAATATCCTATCTCATCGTGAGCACGCAGCAAGGCCTAAAATGACGGGGAGAGAAAAAAAGAGAGGGAGAGCGTGAGTATATGTTTAACTAAGGGTAAAGCTGGGAAAGTTGACTGGATTAATTGACGAACTACAGTTGATTTCATAATTCTCTCGTGATCGACGGATGAAAAAAGGGAGGGAAGGAGAAATCAATCAGTTTAATCACTTAGACCCTAATTGATTGACTGACTGATCAAAGCTTAAAAACTTGCAAGCTGAATTTGCGTCCAGCTTGATTGGTTAACAAACTGACTGATGAACAATGTACAGTGCCTACCGTTTACTCTACCATAACCTATTCATGCTGACAGATTGATTGATTTAATGAGTAGTGCAGAGCCTAAACCTGATAATCTAGGCAGAACCAGCTAAAACTCTGTAAAAACTCAACTAAAAAACTTACACGAAAATGTGGTTGAGCCAAGAGCTTGGCTAGTTCGCGTGACTCTAAACGTCTCGAGGGCGAGAATTTGCGTATGATATCGTCACAGATCGGCTTGTTGTTCAGATGAGCTGGCAAAAAGGCGGGCACGGGCTGCGGCTCGGTTGGATTTAGCTGGAAAATAATGGATGTCAAGTAAGTTAGAGATTGATAGACAGAGAGAGGAGAAAAGAGTGAGACAGACGTAGGCATATGCACATAATTAAATTTGTCGCATTAAGCTATGAGTGGGGCGTTGGAAACAGACATCTCTCATCGTCTCGCACTGCCCTAGGTCAAGTCAACTTTACTTCGGCTTAATTGACGCTCGCATCCGTTAATTGGTGACTTTTCTTCTTCATATTATTTTGGCAGTTCTGACTCTCTGGCCGGACTGTTTTATGGTCTACCCACATTTAACCCCAGTGAACTTTGCTCTGTTCCATATTTATTTCTCTTTGCTTTCAAGTCTTAGGTCAAAAATTGGGTCGTTTGTGCGTCAAATATGGGTCGTGTTTAGAATAGAACCGAACCCTTGCTCGACACACTTGATTTCTCTTTCTGCTATAATTGCATTAAATTCTCGTCTTCCGGCCCATTTGCCTTGCGAAATTTATTTACTTTCATCGTCAGCAGTGAATCTGCCCTCTCAGTCGTCTGTCTACGCCTGTGTCTTTGTTATTTCTGTATTTATTATTATTATTAGTATTATGAGTCGGTGCCACAGTTTCCGCCCACGCTACAGCGACTCACTCACATGCAATATTTATAAGCCAGCAAAAGTTCACTCTCTACTTGACAAACGCAATGCAGAAAATTATATATATTTGGTCTATAGAGAACGAAAGCTACGCCGACTCGTCATGCATAAAGGGTTTTTATAGAGGAAAAACTATTTATACAAGCGCAATTTCTAGAAAAGTAAAGAAAATGTTAGACATATGTTAACATAATTATTTTAAATAATAATTTAGTTACTAACTTCCAAATAGTGTAGAGCCAAAAATATACGCTAGGTGGAGCTTTCACTGTATGTAAATGAATCAAGCACATAGCACGAAGTAAATAATGCAGTTCTTATAGGAATATTAAATCCATCTACTCATTTAAATTCGATTCTCACCAAAGGGAGTTATTTGCTTTAAAAACAATTCTTCCAATATTTGTACTTCTTAGTCTTTTAAGCCCAACAAGCAATCGCCTTAAGTCTTTCAATCTTTATATGTTTTTCCTCTGCAGACAGAACCTAAGTGTTATCGCTAAGCAGCGATTATTATTTATTTATTTACACATAGTTTTTCTGCTGCATATCGAATTTCAGTTCTTCCGTGTGAAAAGAAGCCCCACGTAGTATGGAGCTTCCTATGCTCGCCTTAACAGTTACGCACACA